TTCCCTACATGAGATCAATATAATATGAAATAAATGGAAGCTGACGGGAGCTCTGCTGCTACTAGAATACATATCAAAAGAGTACTCCTTCGTCCTTTTCTGCCTGTCACACACTGCTCAAATTACAGACAAAGGCCGGGTGGTAGTCACAGGAATAAAAGCTCCTGTCAGTCGTGGCTTGTTGACTGTCAGACTTCAGCTGATTGTTTATCATTTCATTTCAGGGTCATATGATTCTCCTAAATATCTCAGGTAAACTCTTTTTTATTCCAGATGGACTTCAAAGATATGTTGTAACAAGGTCCCAGATTTAATCCCTCTTATTGTTATGGCCACCCTGCAGCTGTTGCTGCCATTACAGTCAGGAGCTGACACCATTTCAGTTTACAGTGAATGACATTAACAGCCAAAGGCCTCATATTTCACAAAATTGTTCTTCATTTTTAAGGCAAGACATCTCTCTTTTCAAAATACTAATGCTGACCTAAAAGCCACAATGTTATGTCCACAGGATTTATTAGAATTCGTTACTGACACCACATTTCCCCTCAAGATTAATGTACAAAAAAATTGGATGGAGGATGCTCTGCTATATTTAAATAGCGCTTCTCTTATATGAACTGTTGGTGACAGGGTGAGATGTTGTGAGGTAGATAAACAATACAAACTGAAATTGGAGAGGAATGCCTATTCTGTAACCCTATTCCATCATCTGGCCTCTACTGCCTATAACTGTACATTTGTCACTGCCCCCCCTTTAGGCCCCACTTGGGTTATTAATAAACATCTTTTGGCTGACATTGTCTAGAGGATTAGAATGAGAGACCACATCTGTAGCTATGCACACAAATACACAGGCAAAAGGAATGAGCACAATTATGCCTAGTTTGTTAATGTGATCGGGAGGCAGTGACTAGCTGAATTCTGACAGTCTGGACAGTTTGTTTGCCTTTAAACCAACAATCACATGTAGAGGTTGAGATCAGCTTCCTTCTGTGGATTGGTGTGTTGGACTGCGCCCTTTTCTATTATGGGATCTGTGACCATACTGGCCTGATGGTGCACGTATACTATGTATGGTGATAGGGTTTGAGTCTAGTACTAAAGGGAAAGGTTGTGTAAAATCATACAAGCTGTTTCAGTGTTAGAAGGTTCAGTCTGAAACAAGAGTAGAGTAGGTACTTTATTGATCCCACAGTGGGGAAATTTCTGTGTTACAGCAGCAATAGAGAACAACCAACATAACACCATAACAACAGACACCACCATAAGAACAGACACATAAGAACAGAACTTCATAAAAACACGAAAAAGAACACAACGAGGGCACAGCTGCTGTAACTTGCTGCCACTCTGCGCGGCACATGTGTGCGTACGTAGGTACGTAGTAAAAAAAGAACACTTAGTCTTAAAATAAAAAGTTACATAAAGGCAACAAAGCATTAGGACTGATATGCACAATGATTATAAAAGTAGCGTCATCAGATGGTTACATTTTACACAGCACAAATAAGCAAATCAAAGGCACCTAAAAACAGGGCAAAGCAGCACTGGAGAGAATCAGGAACAACAATAGAGACCAAAACAGGCATTAGCCTACAGTAGGTCCAGAGTTTTTACAGACTGGGCTACTTATGTAATAACAGTTCAAACAGTTGCTGTGCCATCATCAGCATGATTGCATTCTGCATTGTTGTACTGTTTGCCATGTTGTGAAATTTTTGCTCAGAAGACACTGTTAATATCAAAAAAATAAAGACAATTATAATATATAATTTATCATAGAATAGCCAAAAAAACAACTACCAGTGAAAATGTTTGATTCATTTTAAAATATATTGCCTTGTAAAATGTTTATCATCCATTTGGAGTTGACTAAAGGTTTCTACAGCAAAATAAAATCAATTTGAATTTTACTACTTTGTGTGTGCGGTGCTGCCACAGATCAGACATGATCATGATGTGTCTCAGATCAGTAAATGATGCTGACAGATTTCTCTCTCTATTCTTATTCATGTGCACATGACCATTTGTCTTTATGAAGACCGAGCCACCAGTCTGATTTGTAGTGAAGTGGACTGTCTAAACCGCTGAACACCAACTTCCTGTGTGTCCAGTCACTGGACAGAGACAGAGTGAACGTTCTCCTTGCACATGTTCATTGATCTGACAGTGGAGTGAACGGACACAGTGTGTTTGCAGCAGCAGCTGGTTTCTCCCCCCTCTCTCATGGAGCTGTGTGCCTCTCACATACTCACTGTAATACAACAGAAACAATGAAGAACTATGTGACGGGGAGAAGGCTGAGGGCAAGGAAGATGAAATCACTGAGGAAGGAGAGCAAACACGACGGGTAAAGCCCTGAGAGACACGGTGGCCACGGGATGTCTGAACAATTATATAAGCTACGTTCACATCACATTAGCAGGAGAGTGCTCTGCACAGAGGGAGTCAAAGCTCCTGTTCAATTCCTCAGTGTTTTAGCAACAGGCAGCGCTGGTTCCTTCTGACTGCGACAAACATATTCTTGTTTAAGTATAAGCACCTGTTGATCATCAGTTTTAGGAACAAGAATACAACACAAAATACAGGGGTACAAATAGCAGTGGATGGTATTTGAATTCAAAACAGTAAATATCTGCAGTACTATAGCCATTTAAACTACACAATGCTAAAGCTTTATGGAAAGATGGAGGCAGGATTATGTATCATTTCTTTTCTGTACTAACTCAGACTTTTGTTAACAAAATCTCAGCCAACACTTTTTGTACTATTTGTTGTTTTTAAACTGCTTTTTGTACATGTGAGTATCTAGAATGGCTGAAGAGAGACTGAAATCCAGCTGCTATATGTCCCCTGTGTTTCTACTGGATGTTACGTACCACTGGATCTGTTCCTGCTGGTCTCAGTTTATATTTCATGTTCATGTTTTTGTTGCTCCGACATTTGTTTTGATTAATTGTCCTGGTGTTTTACTGACTCACTATAGAGGGTCCAGAGCATTTGGAGATCTGTATTTTGCTGCCATGGGCAATCTAGCCACAGGAGTTTCAAGCCACTGACTTCTGTGCCGGTCCCAAACCCAGACAGAGAGGGTTGCGTCAGGAAGGGCATCCGGGTAAAAACATGCCAAATTTAAACATGAATCATCAGTGAGAATTCCATACTGGATCAGTCGAGGTCCGGGTTAACAACGACCGCCACCAGTGCTGTTGACCTTCAGGGTGCTGGTGGAAATTGGACTACTGTTGGTCGAAGAAGGAGAGGAGGTAGAAGGATTCGTAGACAGAGAGAGAAGAGGAAAGGCAGGAGTATAGGTCTGAGAATAGGGACTCTTAATGTTGGCACAATGACAGGGAAAGATAGAGAGCTGGCGGACATGATGGAGAGAAGGAAGGTAGATATACTGTGTGTGTGCAGGAGACCAGGTGGAAGGGTAGCAAAGTACGTAGCATTGGAGGGAGATACAAACTGTTTTATTATGGTGTGGACAGGAAGAGAAATGGGGTAGGAGTGATCCTGAAGGAGGAGCTCGTGAGGAATGTTTGAGGTGAAAAGTGTGTCAGACAGGGTCATCAGTTTGAAGTTGGAAATTCAAGGGGTAATGTTGAATGTAGTCAGTGGTTATGCTCCACAAGTAGGGGGTGAGTTAGAAGAGAAGGAGAGATTCTGGAGTGAATTAGATGAGGTGATGGAGAGTATTCCTAGAGGGGAGAGAGTGGTGATTGGGGCAGACTTCAACGGGCACGTTGGTGAGGGGAACAAAGGTGATGAGGAGGTGATGGGCAGGTTTGGTGTTAAGGGAAGGAACCTAGAAGAACAGATGGTGGTGGA